AATCAAATGTCCAATTTTTAGATCGATTTTTAATTATAAATTAATGTTTTAAAAGAAAATTAAGAAGAATGTTAAAAAAGGGCATATAACTTATCTTTCGATGAACTTTCCAAGTAAAATGGACAGATATTATTTAATACACAAGGAAAGGCATACATATGTAAAATATTATTACATCATGATATTACAATAGGCAATTTTATCAGACCATTAAAAAATATTGAAAAACACCAATATTATTTCTTTATTTTAACCATGTAATAATTAATAGTTTTATTATGTGCAATACCACACAACTAATCATTCATATTATTTGTTAGTTGAAACGCATTGACAAGTTTTTTAATCTCTTTGCACAGTCACGATATTTTTTCCGACCAATAGAAGGTTCCTGACCACTCAGAAGTTGCTTAATACGTACCTCTTTCAAACATTGTTCCCTCTTTATTGCAGAAATGAATTTCCATATATTTGGATGATTTGCAGAAACTTGTTGCCAAAAGCCACGATGTCATCCTTCTTTAGAATTGTTAGTTTTTGAAAGTCCGGCTGCACTTCCACATCTCAAGCTTAAATACAGATGGTCAGCGTCGTTGTATTCGATCAGGACGTCCATTCTCAGTATGCTCAAAATAATCAACTACAGGTTGAGCTTCGGGTGGCAAATGTTTTCATCAATAAGAATTCTTGTGAATGTATGTGTTCGAAGAATTTACAGCATACGACGAAATCCATCCTGTGTATGTTTACTTGTTTGAAGTTAAGCGTAAAGCTACACAATGGGCTATCTGTGCTCTGCCTACCACGGGTATCGAAACCCAGTTTCTAGCGTTATAATTCCGCAGACATACCGCTGTGCTACTGGGGGGCTCCTGCGTATGTGGCAATAGATTATGGTCTGATAGAAATTGGTGTAGATACTTGACAAGGATACGCTCAAAAGTTTTTACTATATACACTTATGAGACCGATTGGATGGCAGGAACTAATACTTAAAGAAGTATTATTGCGTTTCCAAGATTGTGGGTAAATAACAATAATAACTTAAGGAGCATTACCTGAGGCAGAATCAATTTCCTCATAGTATGGCATGGTAATTCCATCTAGAACCTATGCAGAATTACACTTATTCTGTAGAGTTACATGGATATTATCCACAATTATTGGACCATCCATGTAATAGTCCCCTTGTGTGGTTAACATTAGCGTAAGTTCAGGTATAGAAAAAATCGGATAACACAGAAACGTTGTCTGAACTTTAAATGTCCAGGGGATGTTGTTTTGGAGCTGGAAGATTTGTCTCATGAGAAACTACAAAGAGACTGGCCTTGTCAAGAGACGGTGTTGGAGAATAGATATGATTCATGACGCAACTATCGGAATTACGAAGTTGATTACAGACAATTTGCCAGTTGAGACTCTTAATTGCGAGAACATATTTACGTGCTTTCCGTTCAATACACCTATGATGCTGAAGGATAAATTGGTCTCTAGATCCGAAATATTCACGAAATAGTGAAGAGGTAGAGTAATAATACTGCTTGATGGGTTACTGAAGGTTTACGTGGATTATAACAAACGGTTGGCATATTCTGGGAGTAGGCTGAATTAATTAAAGCTTCAATTATTTCACTAAAATAATTAATAATAGGTTCATATTGTACAGGGTATTGTTGATACGAGTCTGGTAAGTCTTCATCATGGTAATACAAGGATGTCTTTATGAGTCACAATTCTCACATATTAATTTCTAGTGTGTTAAATTATAATCGGTTTATTATTACTACCAACTGTGGGAAGAATGATAACCTTTATCAGTGAAATTAAAGTTTCTGAGATCAGAGTAACGTCAGGAATTATATTAAATTCACGACGACTATGAAATGAAAGGAACAAAAAAGATCGAGTACTATTATCCAGTGTAGAATGAAAATAACGTAATTCTAAAGGACATTTACTATGATAACTAATATCAATCATAACAGTATAGCTACGGAAAATATGGTCCATTTATAAGAACAAGTCAAGAGGCAAAGGACCACAGTTATAATGTCGGTATCAGCGAATTTGATAACACAAGATTCAATGTATACAGTAAGTATGAGGTGTTTAGGGTTGTGGTCCAGCTGAATTATACATATTTGCAGTATAAAAGTAGTCCTACTGCCTACTAACCTCAATGGGATCGCCACTGTGATATAAGATATAACCAGGTCATCTGGCAGCCTGAAATGGTTTAATTAAGGAATGTCTCATTGAGAAGAAAGCAATCAACGGAGTTGACAGACAGAATTGGATCCAAGAATTGTTGATTCATGTGCAATGAACAAATGTTGATTAAATGAAACTTTAACAATCTGTTTCCAGTCGACTAAGCCACCCAGGTTACAATAAAAATGAAAATGGGTATTTAGTCTACAATATGTAGCTTGCATAAGAATTTTAATAATAGGTTTAGCTGCATGATTAATGCTGTCCAGAACGAATGCACTGTTATTTATAGTAATAGTTATGAAACAAAGAATGTCTTCAATGGTGGGAGGTTAAGTGAGAAAATTATCAGGTGGTGTAAATGGGTCCATGGTACTAAGAGAAGCAATGGTATTAGTATCATTAGATTTTGGCAAAAGCTTCTCCCTGGACATCAATAAGAATGGAAAGGATGATCCTCCCCTGATAGAAGTTATAAACAGTTGTAGAATCCAATTCATCATATAATCTAGAAAGATAAGGGCCTCTACAATATGTTAAAATAGGTTTAATATGAGATTTAGCAATAGGTTGGGAGTAGTTGGTAAAATATTTTTCTCGATGAAGTCGTTTGGGAAATGGTAGCCTAGAAACTCCAACTCGATGTTAATAAAAGTACGAAAACGTGAGCAAACAACATCATTACTCTTGGTGATGATCTGGATTAAATATTTTGTACCATGCGAAATTTATCACTTATGGAATGGTTGTGCAACCCGTCAACACTTCAGAAAGGACTTCTTCTTAGCAATGGAGGGTCTATACCACGAGTCATACAGGAAAATAGTGGAGTACGACGAGGTAGAGGCTGTTTTTGTGTACATGATTCAAGTTTCTGAATAATAGTGTTAACCACCAAAATAGTGATGTTCATTTTGTTACAAACCATATTGTAAAATCGATGCCTAGTAGATTTAACAATTGTTCTATTCTGCGGGGGTATTATTTGTTGAACATTAGTATGAAGGCAGTATGCATACACTTTCAAAATTAAAAAATTGTCTGTATACAACTTAGAATCTATATTAGAGAACAAAAAAAGAGGGAAACTAGGCAATGAGTCAATGTCCATTTAACAAGAGGCTGAAGAAGTACGTGAAAGGCTGACACACGTCTATGAAAATGTAGGACTAGTAATAGGTGTATTTGACTCGGCACCCAGGAAAGTGATAAAGGGAGGGATGAGAAGAGACAAAAGTATAAAGCTGTGTAGAAATGTCCAGTAAAGAATAATTAGAGGAAGATGCAGAAGTACCATTTTTGACAGATAAAAAGGTCTCTGATGGGTAGGTGACAGACTTTTTGTAGTACACACTGGATCCACAACAGGAGGAGATGACGATGCATCCTTGAGGTATAAACTCGTCTATTGGAGGAACTCCAGATAAATGTAAATAATATAGTAATAGTGCAAGACTTTTAAACTGTAAAACTAATAAAATGTATCTCATCAATAAAACTAAAAGTAGTCCAAATATTATGCTAATAAGTGTTTACATAAAATAATGTTCCTCAAAAATATTAAAACGTTCATACTTTCTTTCAACTCTGACTTCCAATCCAAACAAATAAATAAATCAGGCCTCAGGTAATGGTGGAATGTATTTTGTATGGATTTGTTTTGAAATTCACACAAAGCTACACGAGGGCTCTCTGCACTAACCGTCCCTAATTTAGCAATGAAAGACTAGATGGAAGACATTAGTCATCACCACCCACTGCCAACTCTTGGGCTACTGTTTTACTAACGAATAGTGTGATTGACTGTCACATAATAATGCTCCTAGGGCTGAAATGACAAGCATGTTTGGTGAGACCGAGAATCAAACCCACAACCCTCAGATTGCGAGTGGAGCACACTAATCGCCACACCATGCCAGACCTGTACAAAGTTGTCTTGGATAATTTAGTTTCACATAATCATGATGAGGTCTCTGGAGTAACGTTGCAATTAAAGATTTTTCTCTATTTCTACTTTCTACTTTTATAATTGCTTCTCCTAAGTTTAATATCTCGACAGATCAACGGTAAGTTTTGGGACTTACGATGCTAACATCCATAGTCCGATTCTCCACAGTGGACATAGCACAAAAGAACATTGTGTAAAGAAACATTCCTTAAGTAAATTTCAGAAAGCAAACACACGTATGTTTTTGTTCTAGCAAACTGTTTGAGGAGCGAAATGTTTTATTCCTCTAGTCTGTTTGAAATGATGTACACATTTGTTACAGTATCCCTTCCTTCTATTTTTCCTTGATTATGTTTTGCTAGTTTATCCTTCTTTCCAAAGTTACTTCATGTCAAATTCTTTTGGAAGTTCTCCAGAAACAAGAAAGTTGTTTGAGCAACAAAAACCAAAACTTATGATCAAAAATACAATATAAAAATAGCTAAACATTTGTTTCAAATTCCAACGTCGTTTCTGAGTAGTTACATTTTTGAAGATGCATTTTATTCTTCGGCTTTATTGTATACTAGGTGACTATTTTTTTGTTACGTTACTTTCCACCTTCTCATGGAGGTTATAATTTTAAGGTTGTAAAATGCTTTAATTCTCCTTTGAAAAGTAAATCAACTAACATGTTACTGGATATTCTGATAGATTATTTTGTCTTACTGTTTCATAGATGTTTCTGTAAATGCAAAACATGTACGCTCTTCATACATGTTTATTAATTTATAACCTTTGGTAATCAAATAACATTAAAAATGTTTTGGGAAATCTAATCATGTAATTGAAAAGTGCAGAATGAACACAAATTAAACGAAATTTTAATAACAGTTAACGTAAAATATATCTACAAAACAACTGTTTAAACTTGCAAAATCAAATGGTTGTGCTATTAAATCAAAGTGGCATAATTGATGAAAGATCAACATTTGGTTAATTCTGTAAGAGAAATTGTTCAATCAGTTCATTTTGATCTGCTTCTTCTTTCTTCAGTGATTCATACTGGATTCTCAATCTGGAATATATTAATAACATTTCATTGACACTCAGGATAGTAATGAATGACTTACATATGAAATATTTGATTCAAAACTGACAGCAAATATTGCATTATCACAAATGTTTGTTAATGACCTATGGTAACAATATACATATTTAATCACCTTGCCTCTGGCCATCCCTGTGGCCTGTAAGAAGGTTAAAAGCTCTGTCCCTCTCATTGCAATTTGATTGAAGCATAGTGAGCTGCAAGTGCAGATAATGCACAGGACTTTCAGACATGTAGTTATCCAATTTCACAATTACGATAATATGCAAAGCTCAAAATTTTAGCATTTCAAAAAAGTATGCATATATATATATATATATATATATATATATATATACACACAACAACTATATTATTTAGTTAGTAGTTAGTAGTACGTACTAAACTTAAAACTAAGTTAGGGTAAGGTAC